GAATATCGTGGGTTATCGTCTGAGCAAGCAAGTTTCGAGAGAGGCAAAAGAACTCTCTGCAAGTCGCGTAAGGAAAAACGTGCTTTTTCAAACGATAATCAACGATATTCACAGCCATATTTCTCAAAAACTAAAAAGGGTCCTTTTCTAAAAAATAGATCAGCATCGTGTACAACTCGTGTACTTGAAACTAGTATAAAAAAGAGGAATGGATCTTCTTTAATTAGTGTAATTTTAGTTGGCAAAGTTGGCAGACTATGAAGTGGGTTTACACTGAGCACTCTTTGTTGCATACATAAAAGATGAACATTTAATGAAAATAAAGAATTCGTTCTTAATATACGGAATCCGCGGAATAGCGGAACAGAGGAATAGACGAATAGCGACCGACCGGAATACATTTTGACATGCTCGCTTAGTCAGAATCTTCTTTTCGCCTCATTATTACTCTCTCTCTCTTACTCGGAAAATATTATGTACCAGTCATGTATCGATCGCATCAGGAGTGAGAAATATAGCAAAAAGACGATTTAGAAAACTCACCTTGACCGTGCACATTTTCTTAGTTCATATATTCTCATGTCTCGACGAGCACCTGACTGACTGAACTCTGTCACAAACTATTAACTTATTTTCAGACACACTTTTTACTTCGTCTATGGTCGCTGTATTATGTTTTCGAAGAGAATTCCAGATAAAATATATTACAACTTACTCTCGAATCAGAAAAACCATCTCGAACAATACTGTAAATTATCTGAAATTCTGAACGAAAAGCGTTAGATGACAGGCATCAACCATTCTGTAAGTGTAGAAAATCGCGGATAGAATCGGTTCTGAAAATGATGAACTGGAGAGAAACCGTAGCTTTCGTCAGTTGTTTCGATGAAAAACCTGCGATCACCACTTTTTGGCCATGGAAAAAAAAACGTACTCAAAAAACCGTTACCACTGTTTCTTCTGTGTATAAAATGTTGAAAAAAACGTGAATCGTTTCAACCACGGTTCTCAACTGGTTCAGTGGTTGTTTTGCGGTAAATTGACGGTGATCACCGTTTTTTTGCTGGTGAATGAACCACCTTGATTTGTTTCTTGTCGGTTTTGTATGAATTTTTTCGTGTCTAACCATGCAGAGGTATATCAAAGAGCTAAGTCGTATAACGTTTGATTGTATAATTCAAGAGAAGAACGAAGAAAATAGCACAAAATGATTATGTGGTTGAGTTATAGTAGATTATTATATCATAGATTATTACTAAAACAATTATTTCTGTTACATAGGGCTTCATATGGATGCCCACCTTATATTTTCTCAACAACCGAATTAATTATTAATTTTTTTTTCCACAACAACGAGATTGTACATAGTCTATGGTCTGAAAAACGAGATGAAACGCTTACATAGATCTCCAATTTAATCTCCATGCTGTGTTAATCGCTAGCATTAAGCATTAAATCTAACTTTTTTCCTTGTTTTAACTTCGAATATCTCACGAGTGCTTGTGTGAAGTAGTAATCACCATAACTTTCGGCTACATCATAAGCAGGTGACTGTGGATTATGATACGGTCCTGATGTCCCATTGACAAGAATAGCTGGCAGCTGATATATCTTGTTACCGCTGGCCAAGTACACAGCACTGCCTAGATTGTTCAAAATTATCTCAGATGCATTCAGGTACACTAATGACAATTCTGAAGGAACATATTGAGCTAATTCTAAAAGTGCACTAGCGATAATACTGGCTGCACTAGTATCACGAGGCTGATAGGTGGCATTGAAGGGTGAATCAAAATCCCAGTAGGGTACTGAATCTTGTACTTCACCTTGTAGACGGGATAGAAAGTAATTTGCAGCACCAATGGCTGTATCTAAGAATGGCTGATGTCTGGTGTACCGATAGGATATGGTGAAGCCGTGAATGGCCCATGCTTGTCCCCGAGACCACGTTGAATTGTTAGAATAACCTTGAGCTGTATATTTTTGAACAACGTTACCATCCGTCTCATTATATTCAACGACATGATATGTGCTGTTATCTTCTCTGAAATGTTCGTACATTGTTCGGTTTGCGTGATTAAAGGCTATATTGTAGAATGTTTGATTATTCGTTAATACATTAGCTTCATATAACAATTCTAAATTCATCATATTGTCTATAATGACCAGAAAACCATGTGCACTATTCCATGATCGTGTACAATGAACAATGGGAGAATAACGAGTAGATAGTGACTGAGCTGCTTTTATGATCACTTCAGCAAAGGATTTTGCTTTCAGTAGACGATAGGCATTTCCACAACCAGACATTATCACAAATCCAACGTCGTGTGTTTGCGTATTATTGGCAAATAGACGAGTGGGTGTGGTAACAGCTAATGCATAGTCCATGTTCAGAAATGTTGAATTATATTCGTACAAATTCCACATAACACCGGGAAAAAATCCACTTGTCCATCCGGTTGTGGCGGTTGATGATTGCCATTCAGCATTTTGTGGATAACCGAATGTTGGATAATATTGAAATGTGTTATTTTTCCATTGATTATAAACGATATGATACTGCGATCCGGCATATGTCATCAAATCATTGATAGGTAAAGACGGGGAAACTGAACCTACTGCAGATAGCAAAAATGTACAAATTAGGATTCCGCGCATCATCATTTGATTAAATACAGTGACGAAAAAGAAACACGCGTATTTTATAATGCCTGATTTCTTTGTGGACCAGATCTTTCTATTTTTGCTACCACGTTTGTCTTTCGGAAATTTTTCCTTGAACTTTTTGATTTTTCGTTAGATAAATAGAAATACAGTAGTTTGAACAGGAGAAAAGATAAGCATTTGTTTTTAGAGCTATGGTGCATTATACATAGATGTTTGAATCGCCAAGATGTGCTTAGATAGATAGAATGGATATCATCTCTTTAAATTCGAAGTGAATCAGAAAGAAAACAAACATACAACGTGTTTCTTTCATTCTATTTATTTTACCTTTTTCTTTCTCCGTTCTGTAATAGTTGATGCATAGGCACACATTTGCCAAAAAATGAAAGAAAAGAAAAGACATCGTATTTTATGGATCCCTAATATTAGGTGAATACAGTCAATAATAACTTCGTGTTATCAAATAGGCACATTTTATTTTTGGAGTCAAATATTACTCAGAAAATAACTCACAGGTAGATAACAAAAAGATGTACACGAGTTTTTTGTAATAGCTTTTGATGGAACATACATGATCACTTGTAGTTTTGGACATTGGAACATGTAGACTTCGGATGTCTTTCGGGAAAACCAAATTTAACGTCTTTGAAGAAGATGAGTTACTCAAAACACCTCTGGAAAACTAGTTCTTTATTCATAAACATATACAGCCCTGTGGAAAATTATAGAAATACATACGCTATATCGATGTTGACATGTTAAAATCAATTCTGTTGCACTGTATTTCTTGTTATAAAATTTGTTTCAAAAGAAAGTACGTATTGTATTGTTTAAATGATGACACATTTTTCATCAAAGAAAAATGAACGATTGTGGACATCACTACATGTGCTTCATCAAAACAATAGGGTAAAATATCACACATCAACCTTCATCAATGGTGAGAATGAGAACAAGCAATATGATCTCCTGCACATGAGGACATTTTTAGCTCAAAATTGGCGATATAGTGCGATGATATGTCTCATGTCTTAAAATATCTCGTTAATGAGGGATTTTATCGCAATAAAAAGTCAACGGAATTTATCGACGTCTATCGATAAACGTCATAGGCGAGATTATCGCGATACACAAGTATTTCTGTATTCTTTTTTTGTTTAAAAGAGGAAAAGAAACTACATCGACTGACCGACGTCGAGTTTTGAATTAGGTCTTGATTTTTATGTCAAACTGAGGATTTTTAGAAAATCTGGAAGGCTTTTTCGGGTTTTGGAGGTTGTTGGTTGCCTGGAAAACCAATAAAGGCTTAATTGAAGAGTCGGCGCCGGTCAGTCGATGTAGTTAGGTGTCTAGTTTAAAATAAAACGAACTCTCTAGCTTGAAGTATATTAACAAATCTTGGGACGCCGTTCAGGATCCGTTTTGGACCTTGATCTCTAGAAAAATCCTAAACCATTAGACTTGGAGACAAAAAAATGTCTTCAATCCCGTAACTCATTGTGTCGAACATTTATGGAAAGTTTCATCAAGATCGGATGTACTATGTCGGAGATAATTTCTGGCGGGAGGGGAGCCCTTAAAATAGCAGGCCAAATACGAGAAATCTTGTTCCCGCTCAACTTTATTAATACGGTCTCATTAAGTCGAATAAACATACTTTTATGAGCGTACTCATTACTATACTGTAAGAAATAAATTAATTGCTTCCTTACAGCTAAAATTAAATTCTCCGATTGAGGTACGATGCGTATTATGATAGTCAAAAAAGTCAATCGAAAAGAAAAAAGCGAGCAATGGCTACACTTCAAACGCGGAGCAAGAAGAACATTTACTTGACGATATGAACACTGATGACCGACTCGTGATGCCGTTATTCGCTCAAATTTTAGTGGAAACTCGCTCCGCTTAGAATCACAGAATATACACCAATATACCAGGAATGTTGGGCTATATAAATCAGTCTAGCCGTCAGCTTATAGAGTGTTATTTAGAGATACGTCCGTTTTGATTTTTGTAATATCTAAACTGCAAAAGTCTATAGAAAAACTCTATGATTTTTATCGATTTCTAAGCTGGTCGCTACGGTTGTTGTTGAACTGCGATTTTTGATTGAGAAGGGTTCTGTCACATTTTTAAAACAGAATGCTGCCGCAAATAACCAAATGTAGTTCTGTACTCTCATGGGCATCAAAAAGAGTATGGACGACTGTCTCGCTAACAATAAACAGAGGAAAGGAGCCAAAGACGAGGAAGATATGCGATTTGCATGATGTATTCAAAGAAATAGAGTCTTAAGTTGTGCAGATCGTTTAGTGAACCGTCCCAGAGGTGCAACCGATACCGGTATGAATTATAAGGCCGACCGGTATACCGGCATGAATTATAACGGTGACCGGTATTAGTATGAAGTATCATCAATCGGTCGACATTACTGGTATTTTGGGATATGATACGATTTGGCGAAAAATATCGTGTAAATTCAGTTCATCTATGACCGATTTCTATAAACAAGGAAAAAGTGTTTGTATTTAGGCAAAAAACGATCAAGACAAGCCGGTACCGGTACAAAGTTTGTATACCGGTACCGGTATCACATTTTTGATACCGGTTACACCCCTGAACCATCCTCATGTATTTTTACATTATAACATCTGTGGCGGCGTCGTTTTCACTATCACTGCGTTTCAGCTGTCTATGTCGTTGCGAAAGCGAATGGAAGAGTCTTCATCTACTTTTCTCTTGTGGCAAGGAAATTTACTACTCTTCAATCAAACTGTAAGAGAAGATGCTATCTCAGAGTTGGAACTAGTTAAAAGAAATCGAACTGTACTGGACTGGTTGGTTGGGACAAACTAGTGAAAACTGGCTGGTCTAAGTGGAATAATCAACCAAAAAAATTCGATGTTTTTCTATTAAAGTAAAGCATTTATTTTTATGACAGCATGGTCTAATGGGAAAAATGATTATTAATTTTCAAAAAAAAGAATATAGATTTATGAAATGGAATAATAAACTGTGCTTTGAAATTCAGAAATTACTTTTTCCCGTACTATTCTTTATCTTTTCGTTTTTATTCGACTAACAATTATCAAATAGTAAAGGATTTTTTAGAAAAAAACTGGCTCAGACAGGTCGATTCGAAAGTTCAATCAGATCGATTAATCCTTCGGTCATTTCATTCGGTGAATTTCAGCTGGGGTTTTTGGGAAAAAAGCTACGTGTTGTTTAAAACAGATCGTCTTGATAAAGAAACCGAGTAAGTCGAGATAAACGTCACTAATAATGCTGGAAAAAGAACATTATATACAAAAGAAAAGAACTACATCTTCTCGATTTTCGCTTTATAGTGTATTGCGAAAGACGCCCGAAAAATTCAGTCAGTAGATGTCAAGAGATTAAACAAACATTTTTATATATGGTGCTACATTCAATCTACTTTACTTTACAATCTCTAAAATAACTTTTTATTCACAATATTGTAGAAAAATGCAAAAGAATCCATTTCGGATTGAAACCTGTATTGTGAGACTTTTCCACCTCTTCCACTTGGTCAGCGAGTTCTGAAAAAAAGAAAAAACACTGAACAGTATGTTATTTAAATGCACCCCTATTTAGATCGACCGATAATTAGAAATAGTTAGCATACCTATAATGATTCGACGAACGAAAGGAAGGAGAAAAATCATTCCTCTTCTTTCCAGACTATGCAGCAAGCTGTTATAGGACTATCACCATCGGTAATTAATTTATTATCTTCACGTATGCAGAAACCAGTAAATAAACCACTAATAATCCAACTGCAAATAATTGCATAATAACCATCATAGTTTTTTAGAGCGAATAATTCTTGATAAATACAATTTCGATCCGAAAATTTTCCTGTAGTTTCATCCATAACAGAATTACCGTTTGCATCGTATAATGTCACATTCTGACCACATCGACCGACGATCGGTTTTTTTACGTAAGGCGCTTGTCTTAGTTCGTTTGTGAGAGTCCACTCACTGTGTAACAGATTTGGATGATTTGGAAACATAGACCATAAAACGGGTAAAAGTGCTTTATTGCTGGTAATAACTTTCCATAGGGGCTCGACGACCTTTATACGATCATTCAATAAAATATCACTAAGACGTGGATGTTCTCCATTTACGGGACTCCACCGATTTCCATTATTTAGAGATCGTTCTTTTTGCACTTCAACGTAGTCTCTGAAAATGGTCTCCCACATCCACAACTTCCACACGATTTTCACTAACTCACCATCGCTGTCCACAATAGTAGAATCTTTCCAATAGAAATCGTCAGTCATTGTACATAGCTTTGAATTGATACCAGCCTCATTCATAACATTTTGCATATAGAGAGCAGTCAGACGCTCTTCTTTGTCGTTATCAATCATTATATGAATACGCGTTTTTATGTTCAAGCGTTTCCAATTTTTCACTAGGGTACGATGTAATTGAAAGCCAGACATGAAGCTAGAAGTCAACTTCACACCTTGAGCCCATTTTTGCTGTATAATAGCACATTCGAAAAGTGCCGATGCACTATCAGCATTATACTCAAAGACTTTCAGTTCTTTTCCATCAAATGCAAGATCAAATCGACCTGTCATGGTAGAATCTCGATCGTTTTTCCAAGATTGGCGAACACGATTCCAGAATATCTCTGGTATACCGAAACGTTTCAAAAGTTCGTCGTTATGAATAACATGGTCCGTGGCTTCCAGAAATATTCGATGTAGTTGATTCGATGTACTGCCAATTTTTAGAAGTAAATCTTGATTGACTTTATAGTAAGGTACATTGTTTGGACAAGTATTGGCTCGTGCGATGTCCTCACCGAACAATTCTGTAAAAAACTTTTCAGCCGGATCATCGATGTTCAACCAGGAGCGCATCAAATCAACCGATTTAGTCGAAATATAACAACGTTCCATTTTGCCTACTGGTTCTGGCTGCTGGTACTGCTGAAGAACAGCGTCCATTTTCGATTCGTCTAACGGTTGCAATTGATGGCTGTCTTCAATTTCTATCCATCCGCATATTTCGTCTTCATCTTCGATGTAGTAACCGCCATTCTTGAATACCAATGGAATTTCACGAGCATAGTTATCTGACCAGTAGTGAAACATATGATTTTGCTCAGCAACACGAACAAAACCTGGGACAACTTCACATATAACAGAGATATGTCCAAAGGGCTGTTCTGTACTACGAGGATAAATAAGTAACGTATCAATTTGAGGCTTTTGCGGAGAGCCATTTGGATGGGCTGTTAACGGGAAATGTTGACCGTCGATAACGCGTTCAACAGTAGTCAACTCATTCCATATGTCAGCCGCACAGTCAATGTTTTTAAATACGCAACTCTTACGCATCAAAATCCATCTACGAGCAAATTCAACACATTGCCATTTAAACCCCATAAATATGCCGTGAAAATAGTGTCGTTCAACAGAAAAGAAGTCGTCATCCCCATTTGAATAGGCCGGTACATTTGTCGAAGCGATTCCTTGAATTTCATTGAAAGAAGCAAGTTTGTTTCCACCGTGTTTCATTGTTGTCCTATAAAATAAAAAATAATCCAGTGAAAAATCAGCGAAGGTATTTACACATACCATAGAAATTGACAGAGTCATACTTCACATATATATCAAAATACAATATTTTGTAGCGCACAAGTTACTGATAATTCGAAACGTTTCTAGAAGCGCATAAAAGTGACATCCACGGCGTGCTCTATAGATGAGACGAGTTCACAATTGTTGGGCCCATCGTTGCCCCGATCTATACAACTATTTTTATGAATTCTGTGAGCTACATGATAGTCTTAGCATTTGGAATAATGCATTGTTTGATGAAATTTCGATAATTCTAATACATATCATCCGTTTGTACATCAAACATGCACGATATTAAACTATTGGATAGATGTGCAAGGTATATCATGCAACACTGAATTAGTTTCTTATTCATGTCTCTGCAATGTAGATGGTAAATACTAACAATCATTTCAATATAAACTTTGACAATAAGAAAATTTTAACTACTTTAACATTAATCCTAAGTTGTGAAATATTCGCATCTAATTGAAAGTAACCTATAGATGCGTGCTTAATACATAAAGTACTTCTAGTATGTTGAATGAAGGTCAACTAGGCTAGAGTTTGCTGCGTACTTGTAAAAGAAAAATGTTGGATAACAGACTGATATACTCGCGAATGTTGCGTAGCGCAGAGACCGAGCGAATCGTAGATGAGCGTTACCTAGCTCTTATAACTCTATAAATAGTATCAAAACAGCACTTTTATATACACGTTGCAGTACAAATTAAAATTTAATGGAATTTCAAATTCCACGAGTAGCGATTAAAATTTTAATCTCTACTGGTGGCAAATAAAATGAGATTGCTACACATAGGCTACAACATGTATTCTCTATAAACTAGGCTTTGCAGTACAAGATCGAGCTTACAGGCTTCCAGAACACAAAACAATATCCTAGTGATATGATCTGACACATTCGTATATCTAGCCTTTGTACTTTATGTTGTTTTTCACTCACTCACGCAGCTTGCAATGCCCTCGGATGTTCTTATTCAGTTCTGGAAGCTTGCAAGCTCGATCTTGCACTGCAACGCCTAGTTTATGGAGAATAAATACATTCTTTAACCTATGTGCAGACATTTTCATTTTATTTTTTCGCCAGTAGAGATTACAATTTTAATCTCTACTTGTGAAATTTTAAATTCTACTGAATTTTAATTCGTACTGTAACATATACATTCAACTACAGAATGTAAATGTTCTGTTTATACAAGTGATGAGTCTCATTTCTGAAAAGAGAAAAGAGAAATAGACATTCCATTTGTGGAAAGGAAGAAAAGAATAGGAGTATTACCATTGTGTAATTCGTAGACAGAAAAGAACAATTGACACTGTATAACCCTTCCCTATATGACTAATCATACCACATTAATGTCTGTAATGCTAACTTTTGCAAAAAAAATCTGTATATTATAAAAATAAGATAACGCTTATACAAAATCACAAAAATAACGGATGATCCACAAACTCTCAATGAAAAATCCACTTATTCAAGAAAACCAACTAGAGGAATGCTCTGTAAATGTACATCATCGACTTCTGATTTTTCAGATATGAACTTGACCGTATTTGTTGTAAACTCTATAAAAAATCAGTTTACTCCACTAGTCTCACTTTTAAGCAAAGTTAAATTGATTATATGTCAACATGAAAAGCTGAGTCAATATTTATAACTCTATGTAACTATTTACTCTATGAAAAACTCATAACATCTATTACGGATAAGTTGAGTGGAGTGTCGATAATACGTACCCTGTAGACAAAATAATTAAATAGTAAATGAATATCTCTAACTGTTCACCAAAAATATCGGCTATTGTTATTCTAAACTTCTTTTTATCGAATAGTATTTTTATTGTTAGCAATTTAAAAACATCACACAACTTAGATATACTGATGTTTTCACAAAATAGAAACAGAAAAGAAATAAGTGACGATGGTAGTGAATTTTATCGTTAAAGAACTAGTCTGGTTATTCTCTACATATATGAGACTGCATGTTCTTTTCTTCTTTCTCGTTCTATTTTTTTTATACAAGTTTACGCTATCGACAAAAACGAAATGCACATACAAGCGTATTCTTATACAAAAAAAAACCTCTGTTCTAATATTCCATTATACTGATAAGACAACTATAAAATAAATCAAATGAGATTTTTAGTTTTCATACGAACACTATGTCAGTATGGTATTTTGAAATACCGTTAAAAATCTGGTACTTATCTTAAAAGAAGATAGTATTCTTTCTCTCAGAAAATATAGAATAAACAAAAATATCATTCGTATTCTGAATACAATTGTAAAAAAACATTAATTCTGAACTATTTCTTCTTATTGTTAAAGTTCTTTCCTCAAAGGCTCTGAGGAAATATCCTTCGTGTTTTCCCCGTTAATTTTGGTGATATGGGACCTCGAGCAAATTGAATGCTATGTTATGAAGAAATGTGGTAGAGAGCTCGGAGACGTCTCAGTTTATTCAGAAATGTTTGCTCTATTCAATATAACTGTTTTCAAAAAACATATAGGGCGAATTCAGAAACTTGTTTTTTTTTGAAATTTTGATTTTCCAAAGATCCTGCCTGGTTTCAGAAACTTTAATGGAATTTTTGTATGCAGCACATAAGATTGAAAATTCTTTCAATTGGTCAAATCTTTTTTCAGATTTATTCCAGCTATTATGGTTGAGGAAAAAATTAAAAATAATTTTATCCACTTTAAGAGTAAGTAGTGTAATATGAGTATTGAGACGTATGACTGATATTTCGTAAAAAGGTGTCTGCGCTCCTGACGGTAGAACTTGCAATGCATGAAATAATGTTAACATGTTTTCTTTTTGCCATTCACACAAATTATCGCTGGCCAAAAATAATTCTGCATTCTCAATTGAAAACATTACGCCATAAACGGTAAAAGAAAAGGCCTGGGATCCCAGGAACATTTTTGAATAGAAAATGGCTGGTTTTCAAATATCAGGATGATTTTTCTCATGAAGGCAACTTAAATACCCTCATTAAATTTCATATTCGCTTATGTTATGAAAATGAGATGATATAGCTTTCCAAAGTTTAACAGTATACGGAAGAATGATCTATCAGCGGTGATTGACTAAAAGAAAGAACTCGTCGCTATTTTCCTTGAATTAGAGTGTAAGTTATAGTAGCTATTTTCACTGACTTGTACGTTATTTCGTAAAAATGCTGCTGTTTCCTCGCAATCATATTTCTGAAAAGACTCCGTTTGTTTATAAAAGCATATATTTTTGATATCAACGTCCATCTAAGATTTGATAATCGCGGAGCTTGAGATGCATCGCATTGTTAAATGAACAAGTAATGTATTAAATTGAGACCTGAGGTTGAAAAAATGAACTTAGCTTATAGTACAGGCCAATGAATTACATTTATCAATAATATAGTCTATATGAAATTTCCAGTTTAGTGACAAATATTCCACCTGTATGCTTATGTTCCTTAACTACTTTGAGCTTATGCGTATAAATAAACAAGTCACTGATTTTAGTCTCGAAGGAAACGGCGACATATCAGTGATAATTGTCATTGAATGGACCAGTCACACACAATCTTTAAATTGTGGTTCATCATATTTACTGTTTTGATTAAACATTTTGAGCTGAAGTATACTTCAGCTCCCTATTGTATACAATAACGAGTGGTCCACATTAAATTTTCGATTTTGAATAGGCTGTTTTCTCAAACTAAACTAGGCCGGAAAGTTTGGTTCTCATACTAAAAGATAGAGAATTTTGTGTAGATTTTACTGATATGTTCTTTTTTTAAATAAGCATGTATCGTTCATTTGTAGCATTAAAAGTATCGGATGCCACACAAATATCATTTGCTCAGCACTTGACTGGAATAAAATGTCATTTTTATTTGCTAAATAATTTTCTATACGCTATTCTAACACACTATGAAAAAGTATAGAAACGTATTTGTTTTGTAGACACAACCAAATTTTTTAATTGAGTTTTACTATGTTGAAAATCACCTACAAAATATGCCTAATTATCGATTTTGGGTGCACTTTCATGTCTATGAAAGCATTTCAACTTGTCATTCGGTTAGAAAAGAGATCAGCCCTTATAAAGAAGAGCATTTTTGTAGAGCTTTAAATTTTCCATCTGTTTACATAAAAAGGATAATTTTTGTAAGACCAGGCTGTGAAAAAATTACTAAAGAAAGGTAGGATGCCGTGGCCCGCGAACGTCTTTTTGATGTTTTGTAGTTTTCGAAGGAGAAGTAACTAAGTTTGTCAAACTCAACACACTGTGAGATGTACCAAAAGATTCCACATCTCTTACCACAAGAAAGGAATTTTGAACTCAATCCAGCTGGGCAAAATTGACTTTTACACGTTTCCGGTTTTGCAGTTGTGAGCAAATGATATTTTTGTGGCATCCAATACTTTTAATGCTACAAATGAACGGTACATGCTTATTTAAAAAAGAACATATCAATAAAATCTACACAAAATTCTCTATCTTTTGGTATCAGAACCAAACTTTCTGATCGAGTCTCGTTTGAGAAAACAGCCTATCAAAAATTGGTAATTTAATCTGGACCACCCGTTAGGGTATCATCCATGTATGTAGTTGTATCTGGTTTGAGACCAAGTCTAATATCATCGATATATGTTATGAATAAGAAAGCCTGTTATGGTATACCTCTGTTGATAAATATTGCATCTGACAGTTGGCTGCCTAAAACCGTTACTAGTTTGTGGTTATTCCAATAATTTTTAATCCACGATAACACTTTCCTCCAGATCTCACTTTTTTACAAACTACTTTGTGGTTAATAAAACCCGAAGGCAAAGCAGTAGGAAGAAGATAAGATAGGATGAAGTAAAGAACTGCTGTAAACATTTTTATTTCACTTTATTTTATAAATTCCTACAGAATAACTTGTGAAGTGAAATAAAAATGTTTACAG